GTATCATCCTAGTATAATCAGCATAAATATGGTTCTTCTTCCTGGGATATCAACACTACCTAAAGACTTGAGAAAATGTTACATAATTTAACTGATGAATACTATAATTTAAACTAGAATAAATATGCACCTATTATGAAATAGAATGGCATGGATTTTTTTTTTAGATGGCATCCGGAATTTGGGGGTTATGACCGATGTCTTTCAAACACAGCTGCAGACCTTTAGCGGGTGTGTTGATTCTCATTTACTGTTAGGAAGACTTCACTGCAAAAGCTTGAGAAGCCCCCAGTGCAAGTGACAGAATATCAGGAAAACCTTTTAGGCAGGAGAGTGACATGACCAGATTTAGTGTGTCTGCAAAAGATCACTCCAGCTGCCAGGGTGGAAGACGGATTCGTGGATGAAGAGGCTGCTGCAGGAATCTGGATGAGGGATAATGAAACATCAACCAAGTTGGAGGCAACCGTCCAGGGAGGAGAGGATGGATTTGTGAGCCTCCGGAGGCCAAATGAACAAGACTCTGACGACAACGATAATATTAGTTACCTTTCACTGAGGGTCAATCACGGGCCAGGCACTTGGCTAAGCATTTTGCAGGCATTATCTCACAACTTGCATGTGATTTTGGTATTATTAGCAAAATTTACAGATAAGAAAATTGAGGCTAAAAATGGCTTCTTTTGCTTAAGATCATTCAGCTAGCCAATGGAGGAATTAAATTTCAAATACAAAGTCTCACTTTGAAAGACCACTACCTAAACCTCAGGAAGCAATTCCTCCCATCCATAGAAATCTTCCACTCTTAATCTGAGTGCCAACATCTCCTTCTTACTGCCCGTGGACGATGGGGGTGACTATCCAACAGCTGCCTCATAAAACCCCGTAGCAGACATGAGGGCAGCAACCGGATCTCCACTGCCTTCCTGTGTCTGCCTAAGGACGATGCACTTCGGCATCCACCAGGCCTCTCAGGAGGAAGCCATAGCTAGAAAAACACATTGGAGCTGCTTTTAACCATGTGCTCAATTCCACAACACGGGTTCTGTACTACCCATTCCATCTGCCTGGAACCGCTGGGTACCACAGGCTGGGCGTGGAGCCTAATGAAGCAGAGAGACGCCAGGTGCTCCCACTCTGGGCCAGAAGGCCCACGGCCACCTCAGTGAGATAGACAGTGAAAGACTGGGAATTTAGACCACCAAATTTGGGATTTGGGTTTGTCAGCACAGGCTACCGGAGCACTTCCAAAGTTGTGTTTCTGTGGATGCTTCTGTTCCACAAGATGTTAATACATGTTCCAAGGGGAAAAATAGAATCTGTGGTCAAGATGGCTTCACAGACATTGAGCTAAACAAATGAGCCCAGCTTTCTGTACTGCAGGACTTCCCAGGGTCATTAACAGACTATGATGCATTCAGGAATTTCCAAAAGGAAGAGGGAGTGTGCGTGCAGAATTTTCAAAACTTTTACTGACCATGGAATTCTTTGGTCCAAGAATTTCTTGAAGACCTGTGCAAAGTGTGTGAGTTGGGAAGTATAGGGCTGGCACATGCTATCCTTACTCTTTCTTGCAAAAACCTTACCCAATAGTGGCAGCAAAATCATGAGCACAATGTTATTAAGCCATTTTGAAAATTGCTTTAACAGCATCCACTTGAGCATGTTTAATGTGCTACCCATTAGCGAGTCTATCTCCAGGGGAAACAGGAGCCCCTGGAGGTCTGTACCAGGAGGCTTTAGTTTATCCTACATCCCTCTTACACCATCAATTTGAAAGTTATGAAACTGAGCCATTTTCCAAAGATCTTTGAGGTTAACACAATCATTTACTCAACAAACACTTATTAAGTACTTTCTATGTATTAGGTTCATGAATACAAAGCTTACATTTTTGAGAAGAAGATGGTAAACAAGCAAACAAAAATAATTTGAGACCATAATATTGTGCAAGGAGTAAAAAAGGGTCATGTCACAGATGGTAGCAAGTTGGGGGTGGAAAGGAGTAAAACGTGAGATGGGGTCATCCTGGAAGAGAGTTCTGAGGACCTGACATTTGAGCTAAGAGCTGAAAGGTAAGAAGGGGCCAACCAAGAGAGCAGCTGGATGGTGGAAAGAGGCATGTCAAGGAGAAAGAAAAGCAAGTTTTTGGACTCTAAAGTGAGAAAACATTTGCTGTGTCCATGCAGCACAAAAGAAGTCACTGTGGCTGGAGCACAAGGAAATGCCAAGTGAGTGAAGAGGACAGGAGCAGATCCAGAGGGAACAGGGTCTGTAAGTCAGGGCAAGGAGTTTGGATGGTTTTCAAAGGATAGGAGAAAACCACTGAATGATTTGAAGCCAGAGAGTGACGTTATCTTGTTTATGTTTCTAAAACGATTACTCTGGCTGCTTTGGGGAGACTGAATGTCAAGGAGGCTATGGTTGCAAGCAGGAGGTGGGAGACAGCAGGGGTCAGAATGGTGACAAAGAAAGAGAAGACAGATATGAGATACATTTAGGGGGAAAAAGTGAATCTCTTCCTGCATTTGTTCTCTTAGGCCCCATCTAACTTGTAAATTAAATTACCTTGATATCCAATCAAAGTCTGAGTCAAATAGCAGATTTTCATTAATAATCTAGCTCTGAAATTCTTATCTAAAGGGGGGAAACAGAGCAATTCCAAAGTGAAGGTCAAGCTTTATGCAAAAAAAAAAAAGCTTTCCACGTGGCATTCTGTACAATGATGAAAAATTAGGAACAGTCCAAATGCATAACAGTAGGTGCCTCCTTAAAACAGTTATGGTGCCTAAAAAGAATTTTTTTTAAGAATTCAGTGACATAAAAAATGTTTGGAATATGACACTAAGGAAATGAGTTCAAGATTGGTAGCAAAGAGGGAGGAGGTTATAGACTTGGAGTCAAGAGTACTTATAGGGGCTGTATTTGTAGGGAGGATATAGAATGGGGATTCTTGGTGAATGGTCGGGGGATAAAGATGGATATGTAAAGCTGAGTGAAATTATAAGTGACCCTGAATGCTAATCCATAACAAATATAAGATAACATTTGTTCAGTTCCTGATACACATTAGCTGAGCATTCCAAAGCAGTCTATAGCCATCGTTTCATCAGGTCCTTAGAGCAACCCTCTGATGTAGGGATTGGCATCCCCGCTCTACAGGAGAGGAACCTGAGGCTCAGAGACATCCAGTGACTCTTCTAAAGCCAAAGTTGAAATTGACTGGGCTGGGATTAGCACCCAGACATTGTGGACCTCAAAGCAACTGTTCTTTATCATGACACAATGGTTCAACCTGGGGGTAACAACACGAGTTCCCAAAAGGAACTCCATCACCAACTTCTGCCTTGATTTATGACCTCAGCTTAATGGGCAGACCTTGGTTTTTCTCTGGATACAGGATTCCACAGGATTAAGACCTAGACATAATCTCAACAAATAACAAGTGTCTACTGTGTGTGCAGGCACTGAGTCAGGCCCAGAAATGCAAAGATGATTCAAACAATAAGACAATCCCTGCCTTCGAAGAACTCTCTGTTTGGCTAAGGAGAGAACCAGACAAAAGCAAATTATATTACACAAAAATGAAATCAGTGCTTAACATCTGTATAAAGATGTGGAAGAATTCAGAGTGAACTGTGACTGTGATAATCAGTGACATCTTCATGGAAATGTGCCATGCAAGTTAAGCTTGGAAAGACAGGTGGGACTTCACTAGTATAAAACATAGTGGTTCAGCTAAAATGTTTGGGTCTCAGACTGCTTAGTTCTTCCTGGCTCTGCTATTTACTAGGGTGTCCCTTTGGGCAAGTTGCTGCAGCAATCTGTGCCTTAGTGACATCATCTATAAGATAGGAATTGTCACGCTACCTGTTTCATAGGGTTGCTAAGGATCAAATGAGATAAAATGTATATAGCATTCAGCCTGCTGCCTGGAATAAGTAAGTGTCAATAAATGGCAATGATTATTCACAGGGGCTGGATAGGGGATTTCATGCAGGGAGAATGGCATGGAAAAGAACATGGCAGTGAGAACACATGGATTTAGAAGAGAGAGCAGAGAGATCAGAGCTTTGTGGCAGCCTTGAATGTCATCTTCATGAGCATGAACACTTCTGAAGGTGCTGGACTACCGCTGAAGCTCTGGGAGAAGGAGAGTGACATAATCAGAGCCAGGCTACAGGGGCTGGAGAAGTGAGAACCAAGGAGAGAGTGATCAGCTGGAGACTATTGAGTGGACTGAAAGAAAAGGAGATGGGGTTTGGAAAATGGCAATGACAAGGGTGTTTGTCTCATACACAAATACAGAAGGTCAGAGAAAGAAAGAGATGAGGAGGCGGTGGCAGAGGAGGAGAGAATGGGAGGAGAAAGAGAAGCGGGGAAAGATTTATTTTTTATTGTATGCTGGGCTGGGCACTGTGCTAAGATATTATAACAACTCTGTGAGTTAGCAGTGGCTTAGAGAAGTAGAGTGACCTGCCCAAGTTGACATGGTTAGTTAACAGCAGAAGTGAAATTTGAATCCAGTTCTGCCCAATTTACAATGCTCCTACACTTGACCACTATATTATTCAGGCTATGAAAGAATGGGCCCAGACCCTGTTCTGGGATTCCACCTGAGGATGCCTTCCATGGGAATGGTCTTCCTCTCTTGCATTCTCCAAACTGACACCAGCTGCGATTTAAAGAGCATCTACTGTGCTCAGGTCCTGCACTAGGCACTTTCCATAGATTGCTGCTCATCTTCTCAGCCACTCTGAAAGATGGATGATCCGTTCCATTCTTAGATGAGGCAAGTGGGGCTCAGAGAGGTTAGCTCTACACCCAGGGGCACAGGTCTGCTGTCCCCAAGGCCTCAGCTGAGATGCCTTATCAGGGAGACAGCAGCATGAGTTCCATGAGCACAGAGAAGCAAGAGAAGAGGGCACAGCTCTTCCTGCTATGTTCATAACCTGAGGACAGCCCACTGACATCCTGGCAAACGTGCTGGGAGGGCCTACCTCGAGACTTGCTCCTCCGCTTCCGCTTCCCTGCCGAGATGCTGCGCGGTGCCGGCTGCAGCTGACCGATCTCGATGGGCGTGTTAGCACGGAAACTCTCCTTGAACTTCTGCATCAGGGATTCCACTGTGTCCTGCGACGCCTCAGCTGCTGCTACAGGGTGGGCAATGGGGCTGTGGTTAGGGTTTGGCCCACCCACAGCCCCTGGAGGACTGGGCCTGGCCACCCTGAGTCCCTGGAGCTCCCTCCCTGACCCAGTGATGATGCAGAAGCCACAGGTTCCAGGATAGATGTATCTGTTGGCTTACTCATTTATTTATTCATCACTTACTATGTTCCAGGCACTGCTCCAGGCCCTGGAGATACAGTGGTGAAAAGATAGATACAATTTATGATTCAAGGAATCCATAAGTTAGTAGGACACATATGCAGGCATTTCAAACACTGTGCAATACTTCTAGTACAGAGTACTAGAGGAGCACCAAGAAGGCTCATCTCACCCAACCTGAGAGTCAAGGTAGGCTCCCCAGAGGAGACAATATCTACACTGAGACCTTAAGGATGAGCAGGAATTAGCAAAGAAGGTAGGATCAGGGTGAGGTTGCTGAAGAGACCTGATATAAGAGGGCCCCGGGTAGAAGGAGATGCAAGTGCAAAGATGGGAAGCCAGAAAGAGCATGGTGCTCAAGCAACTGAAAAGCGTTCGGTGTGGCTGCAACAGAGGATGCTAAATGGAGAGGAGGCTGGAGAGGCGAGAACGCCTTGTAAGCCACGTTGACATTAGAGTTTATCCTAATGGCAAAAGGTCATCATCGGAAGGTTTTCAACATGAAACCGGCATGTTTGAATTAAGTCCCTTTGGTAATAATTAGTAACTAGAGTATGGAGAATGCAAGTAGAGGCAGGGAGAGAGGCCAGCACAGAAGCTTTGCAGTAACTGGCCAGCCAGAGGCAATGATGGCCTGAACCAGAACAGTGGCAGTGAAGGTAGACAGCAGTGCATGGGTCAGACAACACGTTAGGAGACAAAACTACAGTGCTGTAATACGTAGATCGCTTGGCACAATATCCTCATTTTATTGAAGAGAAATTGAGGCTCCCCAAATAAGGCATATGACTTGCTCTAAGCTAGCAAGGGGCAGAGTAAACCCTTCTACTCCTAGTCCAATGTTCCAATGCTTTGTCAGTAGCTGCATTTCCACAACATTTCAAAATTGAGACTGACAGAAAGTTCCAGTGAATGGAGAGAGTGAGGTCAGAAGGGTAGAGAGAAAATGGTGGACCACAGAATAAAAAGCAGAAAAGTGTGAAAAGGAAGGAGAGAGGCAACATAAAAGGCCAGGAGAGGAAACAAGGAAGAAGAAAAGGAAACTACTGAACAGCCTCAGTGCCTTTGTTCTGAGAAATTCCCAAAGAAAGCCCGACTTTGAAATCTTCAAACTCAGCCCTCCCTCCATCTATGTCTCTAGAATCTAGGAAGTGTCTCCTTAGTTTCGGCTACCTGCTGTCTGATGCCAAGAGACGGGACGTGCCAAACATTCCTGCTTCTTTGAAGGAGTTTCACCAGACTGGACAAAGAAGGCTTCTGAACACCCCGACACCAATTTCTAAGGAGCTTCTGCTTTCTCGGGAAAGCTTATCAGCTTAGACAGATGGGGCTGCGGGGTAGCTTATCCCCAGAGGGCTGGTTGGGGAACTGGGTTCTTTGAGAAGCCACATCTTTGAGGACATAGAGGGGAATCGCTCTTTGCTAAGGAAAAGACAATACAAATGAACCACGTGGTGGCATCATAACTTTCTCACATGCCTATCTTGCTATCGCTCTCCCCAGATATCTCAGTTAGGTCTCCTTGAAGGAGAACCAAGAGGAAGATCCCAAAGATGGGCCCCCTCCTCCAAGTCTGTGATGCAGAGCCCTCCAGCAAGAGGCTGCAGTCCAACCGTGAGGAGCACTGGCGTGTCTGATCCTGATGCTTTCAACTCAGAGGGGAGATTGATTTGCCCCAAATTCTAAGAGTTGGGCTCTACTGTGGTCAAAAGTTCAGAGGAAGCCCAAGGTCTGGAATTCTCCAAGGGAAGGACTCACACAGGTCTGTCAACATTATACATTTATTCATCTTCCCATTCATTCGTTCAACAGTATTTTCAGAAAAAAAAACATAATGTATCTGTGATGAGCCCAGGAGGTATGTCTTAGTCTGCCCAGAACACCATAACAAAAGTCATAGACAGGGTAATTTAAACAACAGATATTTATTTTTTCACAGTCCTGGAGGCTGGAGGTCTGGGATCAGGGTGCCAGCATGGTTGAGTTCTAGCAAAGGCTCTCTTCTTGGCTTGTAGACGACTGCCTCCTTGCTGTCATGGCAAGGAGAGAGAGAGAGAGGTCTTCCTCTTCTTCTGAGGCCACCATCCATTCAGATTAGGGCACCACCTTTATGGGCTCCTTTATCTTAATTACATCCTAAAGAATCTATCTCCAAATACAGCCTGCTGTGGACCAAATTGTGTCCTCCCAGAATTCATATGTTGGAGCCATGACCTACAATGTAACTGTATTTGGACATAGAGCTTTTAGTAGATAATTAAAGTTAAATGAGGTCATAAAGGCAGGGTCCTAATCCAATAGGACTGATGTCCTTATAAGAAAAGGAAGAAGAGAAATCCCTCTCTCTCCATGGGCATGAACTGAGAAAAGGCCATGTGGGCACACAGTGAGAAGGCAGCCGTCTGCAAGCCAGAACTCAAGCCACACTGGCACTCTGATCTTGAACTTCCAGCCTCCAGAGCTGTGAGAAAATAAATTTCTATTGTCGAAGCCACCCAGCCCATGGTATTTTGTTATGGCAGCCCAAGTAGACTAGGACACAATCACAATCACATTGGCGGTAAGGCTTCAAAATATGAATTTGAGGGGGTGAGGGGGCACAAGCATTCAGTCTGCTACAAGGTACAATGATGAAAAATCAAACAAACGAAACCCCTCATGATGCTCAGACAGACAGGAAGATCAATATTAATGAAATGATTGACATATAAAGGTAAACATTTATAAGTGATATATATTACAAAGGAGAGGGGATAGATGACATGAGAGGTTCTATTAGAGGAATATGATCTAGTCTAGGAAAATCCCAGAAACTTGTCTCAAGGAAGGGAGTGGTGTGACGAAGCTCTGAAAAGAGTCTGAGTCAATCAGGTGACAGGAAGTGGTGGAGGAGGGATGAGGTGAAAAGAGCAAGAGAAACAGAAGGAACAGGCTCAATGAAGACCCCTTGGGGAGAAGGAATATGGAAGGGGCTTCAATCGCCACTGGGCCTGACACACTGTGAGCAAGTGGCCTGAGACAATGCTGGAGAGATAGGAAGTCCTAATCTTAATGCTAACCCTAAACCTAGCCCTCATCCTAACTCTAAACCTTCTGGGCCTTGTTCAGGATCGAACATGCTGAAGGTTTCATCAGATAGGAGAGTGACTTGATCAGATTTTCATTTCGCGAAGATCACTCTGGCAGCAGAGAGAAGAATTCATTGGAGAAGGACAGAAACGGAAGTGAGAAGGCCACCTAGGAGATGGTGCAACAGTGTAGAAGTCCAGGTATAAGACGACAGTTGCCTGGATAGGGTGGGAGAGGTGGAGGTGGAGAAGTAGAAAGAGGAGGAGAGAGAGGAGAGACAGAAGGAGTAGAGTAGTAGAGACAGAGAAGTGGGTAAATTTGAGGGTTATTTTGTAGGTCCAACTCTCTCAGAATGTGGTAACTGATTGGTAAAGGTGGATAAGGAAGTGGGAGGAACGGAGGGCGACCCCTGGTCTGGCATCCAGAGAGGCAGACTGATGGTAGCTCTCAATGAGAGGAGGAATCCTGGAAAAGAACAAGCTTGAGGGGAGTCCACATGAGTTTGTGTTTAGATATGAACATTTGGTGTCTTCCAGATGTCTAAGTGGAGGGGTTGAGTAGACAGTTATGTGGGTCTCACACTCTAGGAGAAAGCTGAGCTTTATACGTGCATTCCTTGGAAGAGGTAGGGAGTGTGTGCAATGGTTAAGGACATGAGTTTCTGGTACAGTGCGGGCAATGGAACACATATTCATTCCTCAGATGTACTGGCTGTTCTCCATTTGCACCCCCAGATCCATCCTCCACCCCTGGTTCATGCTACCCCATTCTGTGTCCTGGAGGCAGACACTCTACGGGCCACTTCATGGCTCCTAGCAATCTGGCTACTAGCTGGGTTTGCCCCATGGTATGCTCTGGCAGGGTATGGGAGGAGAGAATGGGCGGTATGTCTTCCCTTGTCCCTTTCCTGTTCTGCATCATATTTCTGATAGAGTCTGGGACCCTCAACAATTACAGCTGCTGCCAGGGGCCCCTTTTCCATAGTTTCAGTTCTCACAGGCTCCAGTAAAACCATTTCCCCTCCCTGCCTCTTCAGTTCTAGGGGTTAGTAGTGGCTTCCCGATATTTGTTGCCCTTGGTTCCTCGATAACCCCATGTTGATTCTCTTCAATCTGCCTAGACCTCTATAAATAGTCTCTGCATTGAATTGCTCCTGAAAATCCCATTTGAGGGCACCTTTGTTGTCCAGCTGGGACCTTGACTGATACACCATCCTTTTCGTCACGGCTCTGACATTCAGCAATTCCTAAAGGTCAGCCTCTTCCCATCCTGTTATTTCTGCTTTACTTTCTTCTAAGCTGATGCATATTTGACTGGCTGGGAGGAGAGGAAGACACACAGAGAGGGGAGGTTTGCTCCCCTGAGCTGCAAGGGTTTCTGATCTTGACTGTAGCAAATCCCATCCATCTGTTTGGCTGCTCTTGCCTCAGCGACAGTGCCAAGAGCCCAGACAGGCTTAGAGGGGGAAGTACTTGTGCAAACCCCTCCATGGCCTATTTCATCCTGCGTATCACTCTCTCCTGACCCCACCCCTCCCGATCCCATTTGGTAGCTCTATCAATATCAATATATCAAGTTGTCCAAACAAGCCAGATTACCTCCTGCTACCCGCTGAGCTCTGCCTCCTCAGAGCGGCAAAATGCTCACCCGTCGCCTGGATGAATGCAACAGATGGTGCTCGATCTGAGCATCGCGGCAGGCCCAGGAAAGGGAGGGAGAGGAGGGGGAAGCTGCCTCTTTCTAAGTGACATATGAG